ATGCAGCGCTTTTAGCGCCTATTGACACAGTGACGCCGTTATTTGTCGCAACGCTGCTAAATGTCGCACTTGCCGCTAAATGTCGCACCGTTGCCGCTAAATATCGCAACCACCGCTAAATGTCGCAAAATCTTCTACCGTCAAATATCTCAATTGAAACGTTAAATGTCGCACGATTTCCGTTAACCGTTAAATGTCGCAACACCACCATTTGATTCGCAATATCTAAATTCATGTACAAAAAGGTAACAGGTGAACTGATTGGCTTTGACTTGACTATACAAGATTATAAACACAGTCATGGTTCCCAAAAACAATTCTTTGTTCCTGCACAGCATGATTCTAATACTTGCCCAGTATATTCTTTGAGGTCATATCTAAACTTACGCAAAACATCAAGTGGTCCGCTCTTTGCATTTATGAATGATTCCCCTATTCCCCGTTCCTATTTTGACCGCCATCTTCGCCTAGCTCTGACATACTTAGGTTTTGATCCTTCAAAGTATAAAGGTCACAGTTTCCGCATAGGTGCTGCAACTACAGCAGCGGAAACAGGTTTTTCGGAAACACAAATCCAACAAATGGGGCGCTGGTCATCCACAGCTTTCCGTAAATATATCCGTATCCCTACCTTACACTGTTAGTGTACTGTCCCTGGATTAAACTCAACTATATCGCTATCTTGGGGACAAGGGCCTCAGACTAGCATAATCGTTCACATTCCTACGGTACACATTAATACCACATCTTCTGTCTTGGGGACAAGGGCCTCAGACAGTATGAATCATTGGTGAAATACTTGCAAATCTTGAGGACAAGGGCCTCAGAAAGGTTTTTCTGAAAATTTCTGCTGATAATTTTGTTAAATCTCTGTTGTATAATAATTGATTTTCTTGGGAACAAGAGTCTCAGAAAATCAAATGGTAATTTTCAGAAAATATTACTTTTGTTGTATTTTTGTGTTTTCTTAATAAATGTTTTTATGTGTTAGTCATAGCTTTTTATAAAACACCAGTCAATTGTCTTTTTAATGTACATAGCAGGGTTCACTTTTATATTTTATGTTGCAACATATTTTCGTAGTTTTTTGTTGGCGGATATTGCAAACTAGGTTTGCAACATGTGGCGTTTTGATGGTTAACCAACATTTGATTTCTCTTACCATACATGCATATTAGTTGATATTTTTTTGCATTGTTGCATAATTGTATTTCTAACAATTGCATTCATTTGAAATGTTATGTTGTTTTAAATTTGTATGTTTTACTATTATGCATTGTTCACATTTAGTCATTTAAATAGCATTAAATGACAATTTCACTATATTGTGTCTTTGTGTTTATCTGAAATCAAACTGAGAAAAACTTCGAAAACAAACAACCGACATACATAAATTATCATTTATTTTAAATAAATACATTTATGGATGCGACATATTATTGTAATTAAGAAATATAGTGGTGTTAGCCTACAATCCGGTTTTGCAATAGCAGACGGGTGTTAGCCCACTGTCCGGATAGTAACTTAGTGGACAGTTTTTAGATAGCACATTAACATAAATTAGCAGCCATTTTGTAAGAACAAAAAGTTAAGAAAAAGAAATTGTTAAAACCCACCCTCCTCTCCCAAATGAGGTGTGTTGTTGGTTAACCAATATTTGCAAATTTTTAGTTGATAACAATTTTTCTGAATGACATTTGTTCATGCATATTTATTTCTATTTTGCATTGTTGCATAATTGCATTTGAATTGTTGCATAAACGGCGTTTTGATGGTTAACCAACATTTGATTTCTCTTACCATACATGCATAATAGTTGATATTTTTTGCATTGTTGCATAATTGTATTTCTAACAATTGCATTCATTTGAAATGTTATGTTGTTTTAAATTTGTATGTTTTACTATTATGCATTGTTCACATTTAGTCATTTAAATAGCATTAAATGACAATTTCACTATATTGTGTCTTTGTGTTTATCTGAAATCAAACTGAGAAAAACTTCGAAAACAAACAACCGACATACATAAAAAGGTATTATGTCAATATTTAAGTTATGTAAGTGAACTGGAAACCAGCTATCTCTCAGATGGGAACAGATTTGCTGTATTGATTGAAATCAAAGTAATCTTTGTCGGTATTATAAATTGACTACCATTATTTATGCCAAATGACCCTTTGGTGATAAAACGTATTTTAGCAACCTAGATGTCGGTTGAAGCTAGAGGATTGTCCCAGAAAGATTGAACTAAAATTTAATTTTATATTAGTATTTTCATACCGCATGCCGGCCTTTCATCAACAAGCATGTTGTATAGGTATTATATGTATTACTGGTATTTTTTACATTTTATTATATTGTCACGATTGGATTAGTTTTATAATTTTTATTGATGCAAACAAACCTGATTTCTTTTCATTTTTTTCTTCTTTCTTTTCTTTAATTGCCATTAAAAAGTGTTATCAATACCTGTTTATGCTATTGAACTTATCTATCTAAATTATCTAGAAAGTCGAAAGAGAATGGCAGACACTTTACTTATAGGTCTAACCTTGTGGGCTGATGATTATACAAGATGAAACTTATATGTTATAAGTAATATTATCTGATTTTAGTAACCTTTGTTAACGTTTTTTAAATGGCATCAAGCAATGCAATAGGAAAATGAACATTGTGCGTTAATAAAACCAGTCAATACAAACAAATTCAGTCTCATTTTCGATGGTTTTAGCACGGATTCTAGAAGCAATTCCATGTTAAAAACCTTGTTTAAGACGGTTCTTAAGTACATATAAAATCTCCACTGGTTATATCACATATCTACTGTTGATAGTTTGATGCCGTTGATCATTGCATAAATCACAAATATCTGTAATGACTTACGTTATTATCATTTTTAGCCATTTGTTTTTAAGCTGGAGTTCAAGTATGGGCAAAATGTAGATGGTCACGGATATTTAGGTTATATTCTATTGTGTTATTCAGAATGAAATCTTAAAGAAATGACAGGTAGCCGTGACATAATAATACGGCCTGCAGAAATAAAATGGACAAAGGCATTTAAACCAAACACAATTACACATTCACTCACACACGAGCGTGCATGTACCATAGGAGGGTAGGATAAAAGTCTCCCCCGGACAAAAGGCCCCAATCTAAAAATGACATGGTGGACAAAAACCCACCCCCCATGAAATATACAGGTAGAACAAAAGCCCCCCCCCCTCCCATCAAACACAATGGTAGGGCAAAAGCCCCCCTTAAGGTTTATAAACCAGACTGACTTCTATATTTTTTCACACGTCCAGGTGCTCAAATTCATCAAGGTTTACACTAACTTTTAAAATAAAGAACAATCATTTGTTTTTAATGCTAATTAATAATGTACAAATTACAGTGATTACAAAGGTATATGATAACAGATGAAATTACGCATGTATGCGATACCAAATTCATAGCTTATGATATCAGTCATTCCTCTTACAAAACAGTGTAGGATTAGTAATGTTTTTAAAATCACTATATTTTGTAAAGAGATCAATATTTTTAGCACTAAATGTGATGTCCATATAATATTCTTTAAACATATGATTATTGAAAGATAGCATATACATGTATAATAGTATAATAGTAAAGATAGCATTACAATATGTGTATATGATCAGAGAAAATGATATTTTATAAACAAGCACAACTGTAATACAAACATGCATACAAAGGTTACACACATGTAGAGAAATGTAGATGAAGTAAATTTGATGGAGGGGGGCGTCTTTTGTCCTGAATGTTAATTCGATGGGGAGGGGGGTTGTCCTATGTGTAAATTTGATTGGGGAGCTTTTGTCCACTGTGTCATTTTAAAAATGAAGAGAGGGGGGGGGGGGGCTCTTGTCCGTATCCCACACGTAGATGACCGGATAATAATCATTAATTGTTTTATTGGGTCTTGAACTCATCGAACATACTGAATGTGTGTAATTAGATTATTAATGAGACTTCTGTTAAAAAAAATAAAGTTACAGGCGGTATGGCTTAGTGATTAATGTGTCAAACCAGTGATTTAAAGATATCGGGCCGCGTGGGTTCAAACCTAGACAGGGGCAAGACGTTTTTACCGTTCGCTAAAAACTTTATACACTGGTCGTTTCTAGTTCCAGTGCTTTAATACGCTTTGAGCTTCCAACCGAATAGAACTAATATAAATTCGTATAACCTAGCTAAAAATAATCAATTTGATATTCAGATTGTAGAACGCTGGTATTTACAGTAATATATACAAAAATACAATTGGATTTTACATTGCAACAACTGTAAGGACGTATGGTGACTTTTCAGTCTTACTGGTGAAGCAATACCTCATATGCCTTCCCGTGCATTATTTTCGGCACGAGCGGGAACCTGAATAAAACCATCGACGTTCCGTAAACTAGCTGGAGTATTTTCCGCATATAAAAGACTAATTCTATTGCAGGATTCGAACCCACAGCGGTGGGGGTAAGTAGATGGACACACGTACACAAAGCAATATACTTAACAGATGATTATTATATGCACCGAACATGTGGCGTATTTGCATACTATACTTTAATCAATCTCTTTGACAGTTTAATTTTAATCAAAAAGGACATTTAAAAAGGATATTTCGCCTTGAGTCAGCAAATTCGGGACATTCCTTTAGGTCCTAATGTTATAAAATATATACAACCATTTGATCTATGATTATTGTAATGTAATACCACATATGAGCTTAATTTTTTCATTGTAACATCTTTTCGACTTTTAAAAGGTAGTGTTGGCAAAAATTTAACGGAACTCATTTAAAGTTAATTTTTTCGAAAATTTAAACGGCAGTTGGACATTTAGGGGAATGGGGCACAAATTAGTTGCAAAAAGCGACATTTAGGGCGTTCAACATTTAGCGGCGCCAAGCTACCTCTTGATAAATGATATTTTTAGAAGCCGTATCGATCATAATTCCTATTAATAGTAGTTCTAATCGTTTGTAAACCTTAATATACATGTATATGGGTATTTATATTGGATACACAAGTTAACATGTTAAAAGATCTTTAACATTTGTTAACCTTAGTTAGAAGTGATATGTGTTTAAGAAGTGTTATTCTGTTACTGATAGGTCAGTGTATTGGATTTGATATTTGTAAGTGATGCCTTTCTAAACACATTGTTTACATAAATTTAAACTATGTAACATTATATATAATACATATATGATTTATATATCGATTGACATTTACCAAAATTGTATAAACATGTATATAGACAAGAAGTGTAAAACCTTAATATCAAGCACATTAAATTAAACTACATTCATTTTTAACTTGATAGATCTTTTCAGTTCAGCCGCTAACGTGCTAAATATGATTTATTTTGTTTGAGTTATCCCTTGAGTTAACAATGGAATTGAACATATTGTGTAAAGACAGTATGGTGGCTAATTTGTGCCATTTTTTATTTTCGCCCTGCAAGGTAACTTTGTCGTATTGTCGAGTTTATTTTCCTCTGGCGCCCCGCGTAGCGAAAATACGACATGCCACAAATCAGCCACCATACTACAGACTGACCTGGTCAAGTACTGATGTATATGCTCCAAATGTTGTACTTTCACTTTGAAAAAAAAGAAAGAAAAAGAAAGAAAACAAAACAAAACTAGAATTACAGCATTGAAACAGAGGATCGTAGTTTCAAATTCCAGTATAAGGCAAACTTTCTTCTTTTTATCTCAGATCCTGTTAAGAACGAAATTAAGTATCACTTTCAGTTCCATTATAGAGACTTATTTCAGATAACACGGATCAATATTGAAACGTATATCAAATGTTTGTGCAGACTCGAAATTGATACCTGAATCCCTAAACAGTTAATAATTTGAGAGAATATCAAATAATTAATATGAAAAACTGGTAAAAATGTGAAACAGATAAAACCCTTTAAACTTTAAATTTTGTTTTTCAATGAAAAAAACGGTTCCCCCAACACTTTTGATTTTTTTTACCGAATGAAAAAAAAACCTTTAAATGAACCGTTCCCCAAAATTCAATTTCATTAAAATAAAAAATTTAAGATGGGATGGGAAAAAGAACTTTCAAAATGCAAAAACTGCAAAAAAAATTTAAAAGGCAGTTTTTTGGGATTTTTTCCCAAATTTTTTTATTTGCATTTGGGTTGCCCAAATTCTATTTAAATATACAGTTTCTAGTATAAAAATTGGGTAAGATCCAACGTTTTAAAACTTTTGGGTAAATGTAGGGGTAAAAAAAGCATTCGAATAAATGAATTTGCACCATCGATTTTATATATAAAAATCGCTTGATTCTTCCGGTATTTAGCAGTGGGAGAATGTGTCAGAAGATATATGCAACTGCAAATGCGTGTTAAAACAGTTTAATTGAAAACTATGATCATAAATACGAATAAAAAACAATATTGAAATCGATCTAATGTATATACAAAGCAATAAATGAATATAGATCTACAAGTAAACAATAAGGAATAAATATGCATGAAGTCGGTAAAATAAAAATATAAATATCAAATTTGGCCCAAATACCTGAGAGGCACGGTCGTGCATTTAATTATCTTGACCATACGTCAGATACAATACAAACATAAATTGTAATATCGCAACTCAAATCGATCTAATGGTTGACAATGCAGTATAAGTGAATCAATGAAAAACTGAAAATTTAGAATTGTTTTCATTTCCCTAGTCCAAAATATCCATACTAAATCCATAATGAACTCCAGTAAGCATCTTTTTCATTGGTTTTTTTGTAAAAAGAAATATTAAATCAAAATTGTACTATAAATACATGTGTAAATACGTTTTACGAGTTATCTCTTTTACAAACTCAAGACTTCCATGGATGTTAAAATTTTCATCCATTCAACTTGACTTTTGAATTCATTCAGTATTATTGTTTTCGGCATTAGGCTTATACATGTATATTGCACTTCTTTTCTGTATTACGAATAATTTCAGTTAACATTGAAGAGAACTGCGGTAAATCTATTAACAGCTTTGCGGGGGAGCTTACTAGTAAATTTGATTCGTCAAAATACAACTCAAAAATAGTTGGAGGGCAATGCCGTGTCACTGTCAAACTTGAAAGTTCGTTGTTCACATCAAAGTCACACGTGTTGTTCTATTTCACAGAGGTGAATCCATTTCCCTCCTGTAATGCAGGCAATATTACAATTCTTGATGGTGACAAGAAGTTAGCGATTAAAGGTTCGTACTTTAAAATATGTTTTACTTAAAGTCACAATATGCCCAAGATATGCTTTAAATTTTATTTCTCAAAAACGTTTTATTCTTTGGTTCCAAAAAGTTACTCCCGAAACATCTTTTGCAACTGTTGCTTTTGTCAATTAGTATAGTTATAGTGATTAAGTATTTTGCATGGAAGTCAAAATACAACTTTGTTTACAATTTGCTAACTGTATCAAACATTCTCTAAAATCATTATTTATACATTAAAATCTCATGCTTGCCCCTTCTAAAGATGGAAAAAATTATTAATTTCTGAGGCATAATGTGTCTTTATATTAACATCTATTAGTAACATGATTTTAGAAACCTTCTGAAAGTAGACATCTGTAAATCTCGTGATTTATTAATTTTACTGGTACTTGGTTTCAAAGTATTTTTTGCTTTATAATGAATCTTTAATAAGTTGAGTCATATTCTTATAACGAACTTCTGGTATTTTGGTTATAATTATCTGAATTCGTGTCATAGAGGAATATTTAACAAGCAATTGATATTATTCCTCATCATGTATTATAAAGTGTGATAAAGTGTCATTCAAACACTCACCAAGTTTGAATTTTACATGACACATATCGTACCACAAATCCATTTTATAGATAGATACCCTACTGGACGTATTAATTTTTCATAAATTTGCGCTATCTGCGGTTTGTTCAAATAAATTAAAGTTTAATTAAATAAGTTTAAATAAACGTCACCAAACTGTTGTATATCATGTTTTTCTTGTTTCTTTTCAGGATTGCCTCGATTTCTTTGCGGACATCATCAAGAACTTGAACAATCTGACAAATTCTTTACAACGTTAAGTGATAGATTGACGGTCGTATTTAATACAAATGATGTCTCCAGTTACTACGGACAATTCAACATGAAATACATCATGTTTAGTAATGGTAAGTTAAATCTTAGCTATGTCATGTTAAATTTATATAAGATAAAGTAAGCGTTAAAGTGACATTATGCCATTCTTATTTTAAATTGTGAATGTACAGGTAAAAGTGCAAAGAAACATTACGTTTCGCCTTAATTAATTTTAATAGTAATTTTGGTATTCTACTTCACAAAAATAATCAATAACCCACGTGCCTCATGGAAAAGTCCAGAATGTATCTGATAATGTTCAATGAATAAAATGATTCGGGCAGTATTTTAGAATTATAGGCAGTTTTTATATTCTATTCTTACCACTTTTTTATCATTATGTTTTGGTCAATTATCATAGTCAATCTTTTGAAATATACACTAGTGAAGCTCGACTTAACCATGAAAAAAATGAGCATAATGTCACAAAGAAGGAATGTCTTCATGACAAAGAACAATTAAAAGGACAAGATATTCCGAAATGAAATGATCAGATTTGTTCACATTTTAGCACTATTTCCTGAATGATTGCTATGGAAACCGGTAAAATAATCCTTTCAAAGAAAAAGGCTTGTCATACTTTTGTCAGATTAGCCGTTCCTTTGATTTTATGGATTTTACTTGAAATAATTGTTACATAAATACTGATGACATTCGTGTCATTTTTATGACTATTTAGCTTCATTGACAATAGACATGAGTTTTCTATACTTTGCAAAAATAAAAAATATGACAAAAAAACAAACATATAAATATACGAACTAATAGCAAACAGACCAATTACAGATACATCAGCATAGATTCGTCAAGGTCAATATTCAGTGATACATTATATCATTATATAAACTTTTTGTTTGGCATTTAATAGTAATGAAATATTTATAACCATACAAGTTGTAAACTACAGACAGTAGAAACAAATATATAAACAATATTAGTAGCTATTTTCGCGAACATAGATTTAAAATATGTTTGAAAAATGTTCAGATATTTGTTATCTAAGCTGATATCTATACCAAATGAACAAATCTAGAAAAAACACCCTTAAATTAAATAAGTTTTCTTCTTTTGAAAAAAAACAACTTTCTTTCGACGTTGCAAGACACATGAAATAATAAAACATGAATTTCTAAGACACTTGCATGCATTTTTGTTGTCAATGAAAATCAGGCAGAAGAATCTGACACATTTTCAGATGGTCTCTTTTAAACCGTTTCGAAAAAAGTTTGCATTCTGCATCATAGTGGAGGTCTCAAGAAGTCACACACAGGGGACATTTTAGACATATTATTTTGAATCACTTCTGCAGCTTCGATTCATATTACTTCATATAACAGCACAGATTCATTTCTTGGTTTTATGAAGCATAACAAAATGTCATATGAGCTCTTAATTCGGTAACTATCATTCATGTTGAAAGCCCAAACAACTTCCGTAGCGACAGACAATATATTTTCTGAAAGAATGTAAACCATTTCATAGATATGTGAATATATAATCATTTCCACATGTACAAACATTCTTGAATGTTTTCACAATTTCATCAATTTGTATAAATATCTCTGTAACAAATGTATGTAAAATATGATATTCATTTATTTACATTTCCTGGAATGTTAACGTTTCAATTTAAGATAGAAAAGTAAAGGGAAATTTAACCATTTCGGGTAGACTGAAACCAAATAATATTCATTTTTGCAGGGTATAATGAGTATACAATACCTTTATTAAACTGACATTTTGTTTCCATTTTACAATGATGCCATTTCCTTTCCTTACACCTTGCGTGCTTATTTTTATTATTTTTCAAGTCATCGAACGAGAGCCGAAACTTTGAAACGATATTTGATATTTTTGGGGTAAATATCAGATAGATGCATTTCAAAACCACTGTCTTACTTTAAGATACTCTCAATATTTACTATCCTTTGTGGCAAGCATAATAAATGTACATGCAGTTTGTAATTCAACGATAGCTTTTTGTTATAAAATTTAAGTGTCATGAAATCTCTATGTCTATTTAGTTATTTGACATATTTATTTACAGGTCCATGCCACAGTGAACATGTATACAAATGTTCAAATGGACGCTGCATCCCAAACTATTATCGTTGTTCGAGTCAGATTAATGCTTGCTTGACAACAGAAGCAGTGTGCAATCAAACCAGAGATTTAAAAGTCGATGGTAGTACCCGTGACAAGGAACCGAAGTATTTACAGAATTTGTATACGTTTGCTTCATTAGTAATATTCGGGATAACCGCACTCTGCGTTTACAGGAGACTGAAAGGGAAGCCATGTCGATCACATCCAAACCCACGACCAGACGCAACAAATCAGGTAGCCGTTTTCATCACTTAAAATATTTTACAATCAACTTTGAAATAACATTTTTTTTCACATATTCTTCTCTTTTTAAAATTCTTTTTAAAATCATTGCCTGTTGAAATGTTTGCAATGTCATATATGTTGTGTTACGATTTAAACTCTTATTTCTTCATTTCAGGGCCGAGGTTGGGGACCAATTAATATTCAATCTAATCCAGCAACAGATGAGCAAGTACCTTTTTCAAACACAAGTTTAAAAGAAGTTAAAACTATTGACCATTTTTCTGTCACTTTCAATTACCCCCCTGAGCAAAATAATTTTTTTCCAAAAAAATACATGCAGCCCTTTTCGTATTTAGATCACCGCCTTTATACGAAGATGTCGAAGATAATAATGATAACAATGGAGATATTCTGCCAAGCTATGGCGACGTTGTAGCTAATCCTACAGAATACACTAATGTTTCACAAAGATGAAAAAGCATTAAAATAATAGAGGGAGAAAAAGGTGAAAAAACTTTTCTGAATACAATGTGAATATTGAATTTATCTGGGAAGACGGATTGACGGTGTCAAGAGTGTTGCTACTCGGACTGGTACTTGTCCCATGTTTCGATAAGCATAGCGGACATGCCACAGCACCCCTTCTAGTTTTCCACTGACGGTTTTTGAATGAAATGTTATCCAAATAATTGTTATTGCCTTTATTTTATCAATTTTGTTAATTAATATAAGCATCCAAATGATTCAATTATAATTGGTGCAGTCTTGAGTACGTTTTAGAGCAATTTGTCTGAATTTCCTAAACGAAAATTGCATGAAAATTATAAATTACATTATAATAGTAAAATTTGGCAAAACAATCAGATGACTTTATTTTGTTATGCCTTTTCATTGAAGTGTACTCTAAGTCATGAGGCGTTTTATGTCCTTCTATACATTCTTCATAGACAGTTTAAGGTTAGCTTATATGACTATATACAGAAGCGTAGGTACTATTAGGCCTTTTAGGGACGGGCCTACAAGTTGGTCAAGAAATTGACATTTTCAAAAGTTCCCAAATACAATAAAAACACGCGAGAGGTGTGGTTGGTAGTGGGTTCAAGCCATATAGTCGAATCAAGTGTGTGTGTGCATGATTTACCATCCTCTGAAATTTGTAACTAATCAAATTCATAGTTTAGAATTATTGTTTTGATAATTTTCCTTGAACATAGTATTACTTTAAAACGCGCATTTTGCTCTTTTTAATCTGAACATGTTTTTGGCTTCTGGGGGCTAATCCCCAGACCCCCTTAAAGTGCCTACAAGTTGAAAAAAAGCTGGCTACGCCGCTGATATATATATGTTCAGTTTTAGACCAATATTCAGAAAGAAAACATCTTCAAATATGGAAATTATATCTGGCTCTTAATGGCCTTCGTTAGTCAAGTTTGCTCATACTGGTCAGATTGCCTTCTTAACTTTTTCAATTGCCTTTAAGTTTCATACTCTTTTTTTTCAGTTTCATGCCTAAAGCGTCTTGGGATATATTAAATTTGCAATTTTGGAAAATTCAACGGCAATTCTACCATAATGATCCTGTTCATTGTACAGAGACATTGATAGCCCAAAAATGTCAAGGTCGCCAATATTCACCAGTGGTGGGGTAGGTTTTAATTCGACTGACCGGGAGACCAGTGCATAATTAAACAATTCATAGATGAGGGATTTGTATCCTTCACGCCAAACTGATAATACGTACTGTATTTAGTCCAAAAGTTCCGGTTAAATTACACTAATATCAAAATAAATCTAATAGGTTTAGGCTAATTTATTAAGTTTTTTTAGTGAAAAAAAAAATGCTAACATGTATTTCTTATTTCATGATGCATTTTCGGGAGTAAGACAAACTACTGAAATACACATTTTTCGGAAAATTTTACTTTGATGTTAAAAGCTATTCATTGCATGATTTTTTTCTTAGTATTGAAATAAATGATTACTGTTCAGACTTTGAAAAGCTTATCGGTAATTATCTGACATTTACACTTTCATCATTACTACCTAAATAAAGAATCAATAATTATAAATATAAGACACTGTTTTACCAGTGAATGTCTACATACGATTGAATCTGCATAAATAAATAAATATTCAAATTGTTAACCCATGCAAAGGCTATGACACGCAACCACCGCTAAATGTCGCAAAATCTTCTACCGTCAAATGTCGCAATTGAAACGTTAAATGTCGCACCGTTAAATGTCGCAACACCACCATTTGTCGCAATATCTAAATTCATGTACAAAAAGGTATTATGTCAATATTTAAGTAATGTAAGTGAACTGGGGAACAGCTATCTCTCAGATAGGAACGGATTTGCTGTATTGGTTGAAATCAAAGTAATCTTTGTCGGTATTATAAATTGACTACCGTTATTTATGCCAAATGACCCTATGATGATAAAACGCATTTGTGTGTTTTTTTTTCATTTAGCAACCTAGATGTCGTGTGTTCAAGCTAGAGGATTGTCCCAAAATTTAATTCTAGATTAGTATTTTTATACTGTGTGCCGGCCTTTCATCTACAAGCATGTTTTATAGGTATTATATGTATAACCTGTATTCTACATTTAATCTAGGTATTATTATATTGTCACAATTGGATTAGTTTTATAAATTTTGTTGATGCAAACAAACCTGATTATTTTTTCACTCTTTTCTTCTTTCTTTTCTTTATGTGAAGGTAAAAAGTATGATCATCACCAGTTTATGCTTTTGAACTTCTCTATCTTTTTTTATCTAGAAAATCGGAGGAGAATGGCAGACACTTTACTTATTGGTCTAACCTTGTGGGCTGATGATTATACAAAATATGATACTTACATGTTATAAATAATACTATCTGATTCTAGTTACTTTGGGTTACGTTTTTTAAATGGCAACAAGCAATGCAATAGGAAAATGAACATTGTGCGTTAATAAAACCAGTCAATACAAACAAATTCAGTCTCATTTTCGATGGTTTTAGCACGGATTCTAGAAGCAGTTCAATGTTAAAAACCTTGTTTAAGACGGTTCTTAAGTACATATAAAATCTCCACTGGTTATATCATATACCTACTGTTGATAGTTTGATGCCTTTGAAATAAAGGCAATACTTTGCCGATATGTAGTCTCAAACTGTAAACATGTTGAAGAAAAAGGCTCAAGGTATCGCCTTAATTTCTCGAGTGGTGGTCACTTGTCTAAGCCAGATGTAGGTAAACTAGTGTATGTTACGTAGCAAGTCATACTCAAATAGTTTATACTAAACCGAAGTCCATAAATCACAAATATCTGTAATGACTTACGTTATTATCATTTTTAGCCATTTGTTTTTAAGCTGGAGTTCAAGTATGGGCAAAATGTAGATGGTCACGGATATTTAGGTTATATTCTATTGCGTTATTCAGAATGAAATCTTAAAGAAATGACAGGTAGCCGTGACATAATAATACGGCCTGCAGAAATAAAATGGACAAAGGCAATTAAACCAAACACAATTAAATATTCACTAACATACGAGCGAACATGTACGATTGGAGGGTAGGACAAAAGTCTCCCCCACCCCTGGACAAAAGGCCCCAATCTAAAAATGACATGGTGGACAAAAGCCTCCCCCCATGAAATATACAGGTAGAACAAAAGCCCCTCTCCCATCAAACACAATGGTAGGGCAGAAGCCCCCCCTCCCATCAAACACAATGGTAGGGCAAAAGCCCCCCTCCCATCAAACACAATGGTAGGGCAAAAGCCCCCCTTAATGTTTATAGACCAGACTGGCTACTATCATTTCTCACACGCCCAGGTGTTCAAATTCATCAAGGTTCACACTAACTTTGAAAAAGAAAAAATGAAAATACATGTAATCTGTTTCTAATGTTAATTTATAATGTACATATTGAAGCGATAACAAAGTATATGATAACAATTGAAATAACGCATGTATGTTATACTAAATTCATAGCTTTTGATATCAGTTGTTCCTCTTACAAAACAGTGCAAGATTAGTTATGTTTAATCACTTTATTTTGTAAAGATATCAATATTTTTAGCACTAAATGTGATGTCCATACACTATTCTTTAAACACATGATTATTGAAAGATAGCTTATACATGTATAATAGTAAAGCTAGCACTACAATATGTGTATATGATAAGAGAAAATTATATTTAATAAACAAGCACAACTGTAATACAAACATGCATACAAAGGTCACACACATGTAGAGAAATGTAGATGAAGTAAATTTGATGGAGGGGGGAGGGGGGGCGTCTTTTGTCCTGAATGTTAATTCGATGGGGGAGGGGTGACTTTTGTCCAATGTTTAAATTTGATAGTGGGTGGAGGGGCTTTTCCCACTGTGTCATTTTAAGATGGAGGAGAGCTTTTGTCCGTGGGGGAGACTTTTGTCCGTATCCAGTACTGTAGATGACCGAATTATAATTATTAATAGGGCTGGTGCGAGTATCCGAGTACTCGGACAATCACAAATCAAAGTAAAAAATCGAGTTTGAATATTCGTAAGCCCAGAGATCGTGGATCGCGATCTAATTTTTTAAATATACATTCACTGTTTCTCACACTCATAAAATCGAGAAAATTACGATTTGAGTGTAAATTATATAAAGTTTACCTAAATACAACTTGCCGGTTAAAGACTATGTACCATGATGCTTAGCTAGGAAGTAATTGGTTTAAAAAAATACTCATCCAAAGAATAAAAACATAAACCTAGTTTATATTTTATATGTTTAATGTTTAGTATTGTTTTTTTTTTAAATAAACATGTTTTTGTAACTTAAATGTGCATGTTTTTATCAAAAGATTTGTGGTTCGATTTGTGAATCGTAAGTGCTGAATCGTGGTTCGGATCGGATCGACACTTATCTGACGATCCACACCCCTAATTATTAATTGTTTTATTGGGTCTTGAACTCATCGAACATACTGAATGTGTGTAATAAGACTATTAATGAGACTTCTGTTAAAAAAAAGTTACAGGCGGTATGGCTTAGTGATTAATGTGTCAAACTAGTAATCTTAAGATATCGGGCCACGTGGGTTCAAACCCAGACAGGGGCAAGGCGTTTTTACCGTTCGCTTAAACTTTACACACTGGTTGTTTCTAGTTCCAGTGCTTTAATACGCTTAGAGCTTCCAACCAAATAGAACAAAATAAATTCGAATAACCTAGCTAAAAGTAATCAAGTTGGTATTCAGATTGTAGAACGCTGGTATTTTCAGTAATATATACAAAAATACAAATAGATTTTTGTTGGATTTTACATTGCAACAACAGAGTAAGGACAGATGGTGACTTTTCAGCCTTACTGGTGAAGCAATACTTCATATGTTTTTCAGTGCATTATTTTCGGCACGAACGGAAACCTGAATAAAACCAGCGACGTTCAGTAAACTAGCTGGAGTATTTTCCTCATATGAAAGACTAAGTCTATTGCGGGTTTCAAATCAGCAGCGGTAGGGGAAAGTAGATGGAAACACGTACGCAAAGCAATATACTTAACAGATGGTTATTATATGCACCTAACACGTGGCTTATTTGTATACTATACTTTAATCAATATCTTTGACAGTTTAATTTTAATAAAAAAGGACATTCTTGAGTCAGCAGATTCGGTACATTCCTTTAGGTCCCAAAGTTACTAAATATAAGGATGTATCTTCTCTATGATGATTGTTATATAATACTAATAGCAAGCTTTATTTTATCATGAATATATATCTTGTGACATTTAACGGTAGTGTTGCGACATTTAACGGTGCGCTATTTAAGAAATAATATATCCCAAACTGTGATTTTATCGCTCAATAACATCACTGTTTGGAGTTCGGATGCGAGGAATTATATCACGAGGGCGTAGCCCGAGTGATATAATGATGCGCATCCGAACGACAAACAGTGATGTTATCCAGCGATAAAATCACCGATTTTGGATATATTATTTCGATTCTAACACGACATAAACAAAAAAATGCTGCCGTACCTGCTATTAAGCAAAATTGCGCCTGATTTGTTTCCGTACTTATTGTCAGCGCGTCGGATTTTATAGTGGTTACGTCACATGTATAATGATTACGTCACATGTCTAAATATAGAGCGTCAAACAGTGACTCTATTGCATAATAACACACACTTTCGGTTCTTCTATGTTCAATAGGGAAAAATGCGGGTCGTGTTAGAATTAACGTTTATTGTGCGACATTTAGCGGCAGTTGCCACATTGAGCGGCAGTTGCCACATTGAGCGGCAATAGTGGCAAATGTGATATCTAGCGGCGTTACATCATATATAACGGCGACACAACCATCCTTTGTGATAATTTAATCTTTTTATCATAATTTCTATCAGCACTACTTCTAATCGTTTGCATACCTTTATATACATGCATATGGGTATTTATATAGCATACACAAGTTAACATGTTTAAAGATCTTTAACTTTTGTTAACCTGAGTTAGAAGTGATATGTTTTTAAGAAGTGTTGTTCTGTTACTGATATGTCAGTGTTGTGGATATGATATTTGTAAGTGATGCCTTTGTAAACACATTGTTTACATACATTTTCCGAAACAACTTTAAACTATGAAACGTTATATTTAATACATATATTATTTATATATTGGTTGATATTTACCAGTTATGTAAACATGTATATAGACAAGTAGTGTAAAAATTAATATCAAGTACATTAAAATACTCAATATGTTTAATTAAACATTTTTATTTGATGGATGTTTTCAGTTCAGCCGCTAACGTGCTAAATATGATTTATTTTGTGAAAATTAGCTATCAATTGAGTTAACAATTGTATTGAACTTTGTAAAGACAGTATGGTGGCTAATTTGTGCCATTTTTTATTTTCGTCCTACGGGGTAACTTTGTCGTATTGTCGAGTTTTTTTTCCTCTGGCACCCCGCGTAGCGAAAATACGACATGCCACAAATGAGCCACCATACGACAGACTGACCTGGTCAAATACTGATTGTAATCTTTGATGTATATGCTCTGTAACACCGCACTTTGGGGTCAAACGCACTTTGGGGTTCGACCCCAAAGTGCGTTAAACTTCGCACCGCACTTTGGGGTCCAACGCACTTTGGGGTCAAAATCTAGAAATTGACCACAAAGTGCGTTAATATGCTACATATCAACGCACTTTGGGTTCAAGAGGTCTAAAGGTGTCATCTGAGTTCTGCTTAAATACGGAGTACTGACTTATTTTCCATCTGCGACATTGGAATATTTGAGGTGGAGTTCAAGATGGCGGTCAATACTTTATGATGCTTAAGTGATAATAGTTTCATTAATTTTACCACTTGAAATATCTAAAAATTGTGTTTATATAACAAAATTGCGGTGGCATAAAAGTGACATTTGCATTTTTTGGTTTTTAGTTTTGTATACATATTTTATTTTAGTTTTGCATACATATTATTTCAGTTTTGCATTCATATTTTTTTTTTAGTTTTGCATTCATATTTTATTTTTGTTTTTCGTACATATTTTATTTTTGTTTTCATACATATTTTAGCCAATCAAAGCAGCCTTCAAATTTCATAACAGCCCATTGTTGAGTATAAAACTAGCACAGTTTGGTCACATTTCTGTCCATTTTTGGAATCTGCTCAGTCTGATTTCGGCCGACCCATTTCGGCCCATTTTATATTATATGTTTTTTTTATATAATTACTGTTTATTATTATTATATACTACTATATTAGTGTCTGTTGATTGGTGATCAGTTATTATTCCATGAATATGCATAACTTAACCCCACCCCCTGAGAATTGAGAATTATGAAACTTAGGTCAATTATGTAGCACATCCAGATAATGTGCAGAACTTATATGCCAGGTGTGTGTGCCGGCTCAAGGTCGGGGTCACACCTACAGGTCAAAGAATAAAGACTTGGGTTTCATGTCCGCACCTTATCTCCGAAACCCCATGAAAGATTTTAAGGCACCTAGCTTGTGACAAATATTAACCACATCGATACCATGCAAAACCTTTCTTTGGGTTACCGCGGACTATATATTTATATATATATACTAAATTGTGTTGTTATTTTTTTGATACCTCCAAAAATGAAAATGTTGGTATTTGCAAATGGCATTTGCAAATGGGGTACTGAAATTTACAGATGGCGAAGTGTTTGAAAATGGTGTTTTACAAATGGTGTAATTATCCAAACCAGTACTTTGAAAATAACGTCATGTAAAAATATGCACGAAAAAAAACAACAAAAAAAATATGTACAAAAAACTAAAAAAATACGTATGCAAACTAAAAAAGAATATGTATAAAATATGTATTCAAACTAAAAAAGAATATGTATGCAAAACTAAAAAAGTATGTATTCAAAACTAAAAAAAATATGTAGGACAAACAAAGAAAAAATATGTACGAAAAACGAAAAAAAGTATTAAAAAAAAATACAAATGCCACTTTTATGCCACCGTTCAAAATACTCTAGTACAGAAATTGTGTATTCCTAGAATTAAAAGATGCTGCGAAAAATATCCCGTTCTGTCAGTCATTTACTTGATAACTTTTGGTGCCATATTGAGCCACATTTTAAATACGTTGGAATGAAATAAAATGCGGTTTATATTTTTTCCAGAGAACTATAAATATACTCTATTGCAATGTTCCGCTGAAACATCAAGTTTTTCGATCGGATTATAAATAGTGATTTTTACAAAAACATTATTAAGCTTATCAACAAACTTTGGTATTTTGTAACGTCCGCCAGAGGCTTTTTTATGGGAAATCTTACATACTTCTTTAGAAAGAGCAAACATGAATTTCATAATGTTAGAATAATGGTATCTGAGAAATGTAAGATGCTTGTTATCTAAATAAAGTAGCGATAAATGTGAAATTATTTGTCATATAAAATACTAATTCACTATAACTGTACTCATCATTGCCAAAAAGCAACAGATGAAGAATAGGGTTCAGGTAATTGGCCAATGTGTATTTTTTGGATAATATAGAAGAACATCTAAATAAAAAAGCTTTTAAGAAAAACAAGTAAAAGCATAATGGGCCTTTAAAACGTTATTTTTAACTCTCGGGGGATCGATACCCCACAATTCCCTCTTTACCCCCAGTGAGAATTTTACATTATTCTGAAGCTCCGCTCTTAATGTGCGACTACTTAAATAATTGATATTTTTAGTACTGTCTGTACGGACTACTACTTAAAGCCGCATCTACACCTAGTCAAGTTTCTTATATGTCACATTTAGCTAAATAAATGGCTCTTTCAACATATTATCAGGCACATTTTTTTTATTTTTTACTGAAATGTCTTTCTAAAATTTCCCAGAAGTTATACCTTTGTCTATGCTAGGACTATCATATTTCTATAAAATGTGACTAAATTAAATAAAAAACGGGAAAATAATGCATTTAGCTAAAAACAATGGAGTTAATGAAAGGTGTACATTCTTTTAAAATAAATGGAAAATTTGAGAAAAATATTTTTAGCTTAATAATTGATACAAATTCTTTATTTGGTGATTTATTTGGTGAAAGTTCTTTACTTACTAATCAAGACCATTTAAATCCCTATTCATTCTGCTATAATTCAGGGCAGATGTTTGTGTCTATTGAATACCTTGATTTTTTGTTTTTACCATTGGCTTTGGCTACAATATATTATTTAAAACATAATGAACATTAATTTTCTATGACCCCAAAGTGCGGTCGTTTGCCTGATGTTAAAAAATGCATATGTACCTGTTTAACGCACTTTGGGGTCGAAATTGGACCCCAAAGTGCGTAACGCACTCTGGGGTCGGACCCCAAAGTACGTAACGCACTTTGGGGTTGGACCCCAAAGTGCGTTTGACCCCAAAGTGCGGTGTTACAATGCTCCAAATGTTGTACTTTTACTTTGAAAAAAAACAACTCCAAAAACAACAACAAACAAACTAGAATTACAGTGAACTGCATTGAAACAGAAGATCGTAGTTTCAAATTCCAGTATAGGGCTTACTTTTTACTTTTTATCTAAGATCCTGATAAGAATGAAATTAAGTATCACTTTCAGTTCTGTTAAGGCCTCAACAGACGGTAGGATTTTGAAGTATAACACCAATTAAAACTAAGATGTACAGACAAATTTTGATGTGTGAAGGCTACTATTTCTTGATTTCGGAAACCTTAAGTCTAGATGTAAGGAATAGGACATGTTTTATTTTGAAAATCTTGTCGTACATTTTTTTACAGACCTCCCACAATGACAAGTAACAGATAACCAAATTATCTCCTGATAATGGGTGTAATGAATGAAATTAAAAGGGCTAAAAGGTAAACATAGTGGTAAGATGGGGGTAAAAAGGATGTTGAAAAACTCTTCAGGAGACCGAAAGTTGCGTTATGTTCGAATCCCAAATTATTGCAAAAATGATTATGTCACGGTATTGAATTGTTCTCTAATTCGGGGAGGGGTGGTAGTTTGTAGGCGGCCAGATAGCTTAGTAGAGCCGCAGTACGGTATTCCGAGGGTACCAGGTTTTAGTCTCGGTCAGGCTTCACATTAAATAAAAAAAAAATATATATATATATATTTAATGGAGGTGTTTCAATCATTACTCATGGCGAAAAAAGTATTTAGTGAGTAAAGTATATAAAGGATCAATGTAAAGGGATCATTTTTAGAGGAAACCTCAGATAATTCTTACAGTGTAGAATTACCGTCTGAATGGAAGTGTTGTATAGCTTTGATGTATATTATCTCTAATTAGTGCTGTACAACTAATCCTACCGTCTGTTGAGGCCTTTATAGGGACTTACGTATATCAAATGTTTGTGCAGACTCGAAATTGATACCTGCATATTTTGGTCCTTTCCTTAACAGTTCATAGTTGAGATAAAGAGCAAATAATTAAATATGAGACTGGTAGAAATGCACCATCGATTTAATTACTTGATTATTCCGGTATTTAGCAATGGGAGAATATGTCAGAAAGATATGTGCAACTACAAATGCGTGTTAAAACAGTTTAATTGAATAGTATTATCATAAATACGAATTAACAATATTGAAATCGATTTAATATATATATATAAACAATAAAAGAATATACAAGTAAACAATTAAAATAAATTTGCATGAAGTCGGTAAAATAAAAAAATCAAATTTGGCCCAAATGCTTGTGTCGCTTTTCAGATAGAGGCACGGCCGTGCATTTGATTATCTTGACTAGACAAACATAATATGTAATAGCACAAATGAAATCGACCTAATGGTTGGCAATGCAGTATAAGTGCATCAATGAAAAACTGAAAATTTAGAATTGTTTCATTTCTTTATTCCAAAATATTCATATAAAATCTAAATTGTACTCCAATAAGAATCGCTTTCATTTATTTTTGTAAAAACTAATTTCACATCAAAATTGTACTAGTGATAAATATGTTTTCGAGTTATCTCCCATGAATGTTAAACATTTCATTCATTCAACTTGACTTTTGAATTCATTCAGTATTATTGTTTTCGGCATTAGGCTTATATATGTATGCTGCACTTCTTTTCTGTATTATGAATAATTTCAGTTAACATTGAAGACAACTGCGGTAAATCTATTAACAGCTTTGCGGGGGAGCTTACTAGTAAATTTGATTCGTCAAAATACAACTCAAAAATAGTTGGAGGACAATGCCGAGTCACTGTCAAACTTGAGAGTTCGTTGTTCACATCAAAGTCACACGTGTTGTTCTATTTCACAAAGGTGAATCTATTTCCCTCCTGTAATGCAGGCAATATTAGAATTATTGATGGTGACAAGAAGTTAGCGATTAAAGGTTGGTACATTAAAATATGTTTTACTTAAAGTCCCATTATGCCCCCAAAAATGCTTCAAATCTAACTTACTCAAAAAGTTTTTTATTTTTTGGTTCCAAAATGTTCCTCCAGAAACATCTTTTGCAACTGTTGCTTTTGTTAATTAGTATAGTTAAAGTGATTAAGTATTTTGCATGGAAGTCAATATACTACTTTGTTCACAATTTGCTACATTTATGACAAATAATTACATTAATAATTCATGCTTGCCCTTTCTAAATATGGAAACATTTATTATTTTCTGAGGCATAATGTGGCTTTAAATTAACATCTATTGGCAAAATGATTTAAGAAACCTTCTGAAAGTAGACATCTGTAAAGCTCGTAAGCGATTTATTAATTTTACTGGTACTTGGTTTCAAAGTATTTTCTGCTTTATAATGAATCTTTAATTAGCTATATCATATTCTTAACACGAACTGGTATTTTTTTTGATATCATTATCTGAATTTGTGTCATAGAGGAATGGATATTGTTCCTCATCATGTATTATAAAGTGTGATTTATGCCAATAACATTCTTTTAACATGAAAATGGGGCCTGAGTTGTCAGAAGATTTTCAATTCGTCTGAAAGCTTGCAGTTAATAAAATATTTGACAATGATCCTAGTCATTCAAATACTTACTGAATTTGAATTTTACGTGAAAAATATCGCAACACAAATCCATTTTATAGATAAGGCCTTACTGGACGTATTATTTTTTCATAAATTTGCACAATCTGCGGTTTGTGTTAAAGTTTAAATAAACGTCACCAAACTCTGTTAATTTTACAATTAGCTATTAACTGTATTTATGCTGTAGTATATCATGTTTTTCTTGTTTCTTTTCAGGATTGCCTCGTTTTCTTTGCGGACATCATCAAGAACTTGAACAATCTGACAAATTCTTTACAACGTTAAGTGATAGATTGACGGTTGAAGTTAATGCAAATGATATCTCTGGAGCTAATTACTACGGACAATTCAACATGAAATACATTATGTTTAGTAATGGTAAAATAAATCTTTATTTTGCATGTTCACATTATATAAGATAAAGTTAGCGTTAAAGTGACATTATGCCAATCTTATTGTAAATTGTGAGTGTACAGGTAAAAGTGCAAAGAAACATTACATTTCGGCTTAATTATTTTTACTAGTAATTCTGGTATTCTACTTCACAAAAATAATCAATAACCCACGTGACTCATGGAAAAGTCTAGATTGTATCTGATAACGTTCAATTAATAAAAAGAGTGGGCAGTCTTTTAGAATTATATGCAGTTTTTATATTCTTTTCTTACCACTTTTGTATTTATTTTATTAATTTTTATTCAATGACCATTATAATAGCCAATCTTTTCAAAAATATACACTAATTAAAAACGACCACGACAAAATGAGCATAATGTCACGAAAAAAGATTGTCTTTATGACTTAGAACAACTAAAAGGACAAGATATTCCGAAATTAAATGATCAGATTGGTTCACATTGCTATGGAAACCGGTAAAACAATCCTTTCAAAGAAAAAGGCTTGTCATACTTTTGTCAGATTAAGTGTTCCTTTGATTTTATGGATTTTTACTTGAAATAATTGTTACATAAATACTGATGACTTTTATGTCATCTTTATGACTATTTAGCTTCATTGAGAATAGACATGAGTTTTCTATACTTTGCAAAATAAAAATTCGGCAACACACAACATATAAATACGACGAACTTAAATAACAAAAACAACAGGATAGATTCGGCAAGGTCAATATTCATTGATACATTATAATACTATATAAACTTTTTGTTTGACATATAATAGTAATGAAATATTCATAACCATACAAGTTGTAAATTACAGATGGTAGAAACAAATATATAAACACTATTAGTAGCCCTTTTCGCGAACATAGATTTAACTATGTTTGAAAAATGTTCAGATATTTGTTATCTAAACTTATATCTATAGCAAATGAATACATCTAGTAAAAAACACCTCTTAAATTAAATTAGGTTTCTATCTTTGCAAAATGAACCTTCTTTCGATCTTGCAAGACACCTGAAATAATAAAACATGAATTTCTAAGACACTTGCATTCATTTTTGTTGTCTATGAAAATCAAGCAGAAGAATCTGACACATTTTCAGAACCGTTTCGAATAAAGTTTTCATTCTGCATCATAGTGGAGGTCTCAAGAAGTCACACACAGGGGACATTTTTTAGAATCACTTCTGCAGCTTCCATTCATATTACTTCATATAACAGCAGCGAGTCATTTCTAGGTTTTATGAATCAAAACAAAATGTCATACGGGCTCTTCATTCGGTAACTATCGTTCATGTCAAAAGTCATGACGATAAACAACTTCCGTAGCGACAAACAATATGTTTTTGAAAGAATGTAAACCATTTCTTAGATATGTTAATATAAAATCATTTCCATGTGTACAAACATTCTTGTATGTTTTCACAAATTCATCAATTTGCATAAATATCTCTGTTACAATTGTATGTAAAATATGATAAATATTTATTTACATTTCCTGGAATGTTAACGTTTCAATTTAAGATAGAAAGGTAAATGGAAATTTAACCATATTTTGGGTTAACTAAAACAAAGTTATATTCATTTTGCAGGGTATAATGACTATACAATATCCTATATAAATTGAAATTTTATTTCCATTTCACAATGATTCGCCATTTCCTTTCTTTACTCCTTGCTTGCTTATTTTTATAATTTTTAAGTCGAAATTTTGAAATAATTTTTGATATTTTTTAATAAATATAAGATAGATGCATTTCAAAACCGCTGTCTTACATTTAGAAACTCTTAATATTTACTGTCCTTTTTGGCAAACATAATGAATGTACATGTAATTTGTTATTTAACAATAGCTTCTTGTTATAAAATTTATGTGTCATGAAAATTCTATGTCTATTTAGTTGTTTTACATATGTATTCACAGGTCCATGCCACAGTAAACATGTATACAAATGTTCAAATGGACGCTGCATCTCAAACATTTACCGTTGCTCAAGTCAGATTAATGCTTGCTTGACAACAGAAGCAGTGTGCAATCAAACCAGAGATTTAAAAGTCGATGATAGCACCCATGACAAAGAACCGGTGCATTTACAAAATGTGTATATGTTTGCTTCATTAGTAACATTCGGATTAACCACATTCTGCGTTTACAGGAGAATGCAAGGGAAGTCATGCCGGTCACATCCAAACCCGCGACCAGACGCAACAAATCAGGTAACCGTTTTCATCACTTGTAATACTTTACAGTCAACTTTGAAATAACACATTTTCACAGATAGCTATTCTTCTCTTTTTAGAGATGTTTGCAGTTTCATGCATGTTGTGTTACGATATAAACCCTTATCGCATGGTTTGGAAGTTTTCCTTTTTTCTTACTAACCCATTATACTCAGTACACTTCAATGAGCATTTGAAAACTGTATTGATATATAACAGTACTTTTTTTTTTCATTGCTTCATATAGGAAAAAAACTCGACTGATATATAACGGTTGAGTTTTTTTCGCACCTTGTATATATCAATACAGTTTTTTCACAGAGGCTCCAATGGGGCAGTGTAAACGAACATTCCCAATAGCAAAAAAAAATGGAATCAATAAAATAAAATAAAATAAATACAATCAAAAATATAAACACAGATAATTAATGAAATGAAATTTACCCTCATTTAATCAAAAAAGGTACATCCGCTGAATGAATTATTTTCACTGAAAAAAGCCCTTTAATCCTGAAACAATATTGGTAACAGTTTACAATCCTCCTCTAACATTGGATGTCTGTATGTCTTTTTTTGCGGCAGCGAAAACAACTTGAAAAAAACTACCTTATCATGAATAACTGTAATGTAGCTCACGATTTATTTATTTATTTCTTTCTTTTACAAAAATAGAAAACATTATGCCATTGCGATAAAACAGTTATAGTATATGAAACGAGTTAGTTACGGGGGTATAGCACTGGCTGGGGCGACATATCGAGATGTTTCTGCAAATAAATCGTCTCGGCCTATTGGGCTCTACATTTTTTAGCAAAAATACCCCTTGATGTTGCCCCAGCCAGTGTTATACCCCCGTAACTAACTCGTTTCATGTACTATTACTATTACTTATTTCTTCATTTCAGGGCCGAGGCTGGGGACCAAGTAATATTCAATCCAATCCAACATCAGATGAACAAGTTCCCTTATCAAACAGAAATTTAAACGAAGTTAATGCAATTGACACAATGTCTGTTAGTCTTGACAATTCATTTTCTACTGAGCAAGTAATTTTTCCAAACAGATACATGCTAGCCATTACGTATCCAGATCATCCGCCTTTATACGAAGATGTCGAAGATAATAATGATAATAATAGAGATATTCTGCCAAGCTATGGCGACGTTGTAGCTAATCCTACAGAGTATACTCATGTTTCACAAAGATGAAAAAAAACCGCCTCCGTGGTCGAGGGGTTAGAGTCGATGACTTCTAATCCAGTTACCTCTCTGGCGTGGGTTCGATCCCCGGGAGATGCTTTGGTAGTTTAGCGCGGAGGAAGGATATATATTCTGAATACAATGTGAATATTGAATTTTATCTGGGAAGACGGATTGACGGTGTCAAGAGTGTTGCTTCTTAGACTGGTACTTGTCCCATGTTTTTGTAAGCATAGCGGACATGCCACAGCACCTCTTCTAGTTTCCACGAACGGTATTTGAATGAAATGTTAACCAAGTAATTGTTATTGCCATTATTTTATCAATTTTGTTAATTAATATAAGTATCCAAATGATTCAGTTATAATTGGTGCAATCTTGAATACATTTTAGAGCAATTTGTCTGCATTTCCTAATATTAATTGCACGCAAAATATAAATTACAATACATAGTAAAATTTGGCAAAAAGATCAGATGATTTTATTTCTTTATACATTTTCATTAATGTGTACTTTCAGTTATGAGGCGTTTAATGTCCTTCTATACATTCTTCATAGACAATTTAAGGTATCACATCAAACAAATTGGTAGGGCCAAACCCCCCTTTAAGGTTTATAAACCAGACTGACTTCTATATTTTTTCACACGTCCAGGTGCTCAAATTCATCAAGGTTTACACTAACTTTTAAAATAAAGAACAATCATTTGTTTTTAATGCTAATTAATTAATGTATCACAAATTACAGTTGATTACAAAGGGTGACCATGATAACAAGATGAAATCTACGCATGTATGCATACCAAATTCATAGCTTATGAATCAGTCATTCCTCTTACAAAAACAGTGTAGATTAGTAATGTTTTTTTTAAAATGCACTATATTTTGTAAAGAGATCAATATTTTTAGCACTAAATGTGATGTCCATATAATATTCTTTAAACATATGATTATTGAAAGATAGCATACATGTATAATAGTAAAGAAGCACTGCACAATATGTGTATATGAACAAAAGAATTACATTGATAAACAAACACAACTGTAATACAGACATACATAAAAAGGTCACACACATGCTGAGAAATGTAGATGAAGTAAATTTGATGGAGGGGGGGGGGGGGCTTTTCTCAGCTGTGTCATTTTAGGATGGAAGGATGCTTTTGTCCAGTGAGGATTTTGTCCGTATCCATTACCGTAGATGACCAAATTATAATAATTAATTGTTTTATTGGGTCTTGTACTCATTGAACATACTGAATGTGTGTAATAAGACTATTAATGAGACTTCTGTTAAAAAAATCAAGTAAGAGGCGGTATGGCCGAGTGATTTATGTGTCAAACTAGTAATCTTAAGATATCGGGCCGCGTGGGTTCAAACCCAGACAGGGTCAAGACGTTTTTACCGTTCGCAAAAATCTTTTACACACTGGGGTTTTCTTTTTCTAGTTCTTTAATACGACCGAATAGAACTAAAATAAATTCGTATAGCCTAGCTAAAAATAATCAAGTTGATATTCAGATTGTAGAACGCTGGTATTTACAGTAATATATATAAAAATACAAATAGATTTTTGTTGGATTTTACATTGCAACAACAGTGTAAGGACATAAAACAAATATGAGAAAATTTTGTTTTTTGATGATTTTATTTGGTAAATGCTCCATAGTTCCTTTTAAATAGTGTTTGTTTTGATTTTTTTAAAACTTTCCTTTGAGAAGAACACAAGGTGGGGTTTTTATGGGAACACGTAACAAAAATATTTAAAATTTTTAATGAGGAAATTGGTGGGTAAATTTATTTTTCTTTAATTAATAAAACTTTCCAGTTTAATTTTAAAACAAAAAATTTCAAAATTTCGCTTTGGGTTTAACAATTACTTCCTTTGGTCCCAAAATTTTAAAATATAAAACATTTTAGAATTATTGTAATTGTAAGACAAGGATTTAAAATGTGTTTATTTAAACTTTTTAATTTTGAATTTAAGAACTCAACACGTTTTTTCGTTTAAAAACGGGGAGTTGGAACTTTTAGCCCCCGGGAAGGGCGACAATTATTGCAAAGCACATTTAAAAAGGCGTTAAAAACCCCTTATAACGGCGCCACAGCTACCCTTTGTGATAAATTGATCTTTTTAGAAGTCGTATCGATCATGATTTCTATCAGTTTTACTTCTAATCGTTTGTTTACCTTTATATACATGCAAATTGGTATTTATATAGCATACACAAGTTAACATGTTTAAAGATGTTTAACTTTTGTTAACCTAAGTTAGAAGTGATATGTTTTTAAGAAGTGTTATTCTGTTACTGATATGTCAGTGTATTGGATTTGATATTTGTAAGTGATGCCTTTTTAAACACATTGTTTACATAAATTTTCCGAAAGAAATCTAAACTATGTAACGTTATATAAATTATATATTGATTGATATTTACCAAAATTGTATAAACATGTATATAGAAAAGTAGTATAAAACCTTAATTCAAGCACATTTAAATGCTGAATATGTTTAAACTACATTCATTTTTAACTTGATAGATGTTTTTAGTTCAGCCGCTAACGTGCTAAATATGATTTATTTTGTTTGAGTTATCTCTTGAGTTAACAATGGTTTTGAACCTTGTCATACTGCACGTGTAAAGACAGTATGGTGGTAATTTTTTTTTTTATTTTTTGCCCGCGGGGGAACTTGTCGTATGTCAGTTTTTTTCTCTGGGCCCCGCGGGGT